GATGATTGCGATGATTATACTTATCATTAGTGCGAAATTTAAATTTTCAAACGGTCAGCGCGGGGTACGGGGTGCGGGTCGGGCGGTGGTGCACATCCCCCCAACGCCCGCAGAACTTCCTGTGCTTTGTTTTTTTAAAAAAAACAGGCAGCATGCAAGATTTGGAAAATTATTAATTTATGAAATACAGGGGTCGAGTTACCAAGACTTTAACGCAGTCACATTTTTACTGCGAGCATACGATGAGGTAGGCAAAAAGATGGGAAAGACGCTTTTGTTATGAAAAGAAAATCTTTTATTGGAGGGATGTTTTAGAAATTTACAGTCAATGAAATTTAATTTTATCCCTTGCCTTTGCTTTATCCACGTTTTAATAAAACAGCCATAAAGAATGAAAGTACCGCGGTGATTGCTGAACAAAGCAGATCTCGGGCGGGCGGCTGTGGGTCTGAACACGATTTAAAACTCGTGCCTGCGAGCTCCGCAGCACCCGGGGCGCGCGTGCGAAGGCGCTGGCCGGGGCAGGCAGCGCCCAGGACATCCCGCACCAATTAACGGCAAGGCGGATATTTCACATTCGGTAGACGCAAACTTTCTGATAGATATTTTCCCCCCTGCGTTTGCCTGCCTGGTGATTTGGCCATAGCTGATCAAGTCGTACGTTTACACGCGGTTATTCGAGAGAGGCGACGATTGCCGGAGAAGTTGTGCGCTCGCTGGTGACGCCTGCCAGCACCCCGGTGTGGCGGTGACCCCTTGGAAGTCTGCAGAACGTCACTAACGTGAATTCACCGGGGGAGAAAAAAATAAAGCAAAGCGACTCTCCTGTTAGTTTTTGTTAGGTATTACCAGGGACTTTAAAGGGATATACTAATGGGATAACTGTATTCACTCGGTTAATAAATAAATAGAAAATCCCTAATTCTTGCGACGGGTGGGGCCGGAGGAAGCGGATGAAAGTAACTCGCAGTTAACTGAATAAAAATCCTGCGCTGAAATTGCCTGATTGATCGTACCGTGGTGCACTAAGAGACAACAAGACAACTGAAAGGAGAGGAGGGGAGAGGCAAGAGCGTTGAGAGCAGCAGCGCGGTGTAACCCTGTTACAGCCACACGCGGGGCCATCTGCCCGCCGGCGTGCCCCGGTTTCCGCAGCGATGCCCGGTGTCACCGCCCCCCTCGCCTCTCCACCTCCCAAACGCCACGCTCGCTTCCAGTTCTCAGCAATCCCAACTTGGAAATGTGGGGGTTTTGTCTCGTTGTGTTTCCGGGCTTTCCCTGACCTAAGGCACGGATGTGGGCCCGTCCTGAGGTGCCCGCTGGCAAACGGGCGCAGCGCGAGCAGCCCCTGTACCCAGCGTGAGCCCCATGCGAGAGCACCCCGCGCCCAGCCCCGCCGTTTTTTGGGCACGCACTAGCAGCATCGCCCTCTCAGGATAAAATGACGAGACGACGCTGTCTGGACCACCGTTTCGGAGACGCTCCGGGTGCTCCGGACCCCGGCTGTCGCCCGCGAGCACCTGCGCCGGGTGCTCCCCGTGCACCTGCAGCCCCAGTGCGCGCGCGCGCGCGGCTTTCCCCACGCCTCGCTCCTCTGTGCCAATAAAGAGGAAAGGCAGGGATGAGGATTGTTGCTATTGATCTGCCCAAGGGGATCATTAGGCATCAGTATCAATCTACAAATCAGTGGGCCTGTGTTACTTGCTTGGGCAGTCATTGCCAATTTGTTCCTATTAGATGGCCGAGCCCGGAGGTGTTTGATGAGCAGATTGGGTCTTTATCTCGGCGCTGGAGAGCAGGCAGGCTCGCGGGGAGACGCCGGAGCTTTGCAGGATTTCTGGTGTTTGTTTGTTTTCTTTTGCTGAGAGCTGGCTGCCTTTTTACTGCTCTGGAAAGAATTTTGGATGGGCTGAATGTGTTTCTGCTTTATAGATGGTTTTTCATATCGTCGTATTAAACATATTGAGAGTTAAGGAGAAACTATTTTAAAATAATCCCCTCTCTTTTATTTGGTATGTTTACCAGCAGCACTCCCTATAAAGATACATATTCATGCCAGATTCTTTTGTTATCCTTTCCAGGTCAGGCCGAACATTAGGAACGCAAACAATTTTTCTTTTGCTATCCCAGTGCCCGTTCCTAGGGATTTGTGTAGTTGCTGGTGAGGAGGTGACTGTTCTCGCAGTATTTCCCTCTCTGGTTTAATTCAACAAGCCAAAAATTAAAGCTCGCAGACAATATTTTATTTGAAAGCGTTATTCACGTTTTTGTTCCGAAAGGGTAGCCCCGGCTGCTTGCAGCCCCCCGCCGGACAGCAGCCCTGTGCGGAGGTGCCTGTGCTGCGTCTCTGAGCGCAGGCTGGCTCATCTGCATATTTTCTGATTTTTAACGCTATGCAAACGAACGAACAACAAAATTATACCGTAACAGAAGAACGTAAATTAATGGCAAAAGACGGATTAAAACAGTTCATACGAATGATCTGATCTGACGTCAATGCCTTGTTATTGAATGCAAACCTTGATTTTCAACTGTTTGGTCTCACTCCTGACATGAGCATCGTGCAGTTTAAACAGCTGGCCAGCCATTAAAGACCCGACTGATGCTCGGTTATTGGATTTCTGATTTTCAGGTTTTGTCAGGGGGTTTAACAGACTATATGAGTGTTTATGATTTCTAATGAGTCTAATCTGTAATTTGCGTCTATTACCTGGGACTGTCAAATCACTTTACCAGTACTTGGTCTGTAAAAATTCAGAATAAAGAAATGTGGGTTTCTAAATAACCTAAAATATTTGTCATATCTTTTATATACAAATATCTGTGCAGGGAACAGAACTATACATTCTTATTCTGTTTGAAGATCAAGACTGATTTTAATCCTGCATATCTGCTGCGATCACAATATATTACCTAAACCCAAGTTTCTTTGAGGACTTTTTGGATATATGTCATTATTTCAATGGAGATAAAATAGCATGTGTTTTAGGGTACTGCAAGGCTGATTATTGCTGCCTGATTAGTATTTGATCAAATTCTTTTTTTTTTTTTCTTTCGGTCCCTGAGACAATTCAGCTCCTCCACATCCAGAGGCGAATTTGCCTCATTCTGTCTGACAAGTGTTTTGTTGGGGAGCAGTCGATCATATCTGTGTAAACACGCATCTGCTGCCGGGTGGGGCTGGCAGCAGAGCACTTTTAATTTATCATAAACTTCATATAACTCATTAGCTTTCATCTTCGCGTTGCGTGTATAGAAATGAATTTGGAGTGCACTCCGAGAGGCTTTTTTTTTTCTGCCGAGTTTGCTGTACAAATATTTATGGACCTTTTCCTTTGTAGTACAGATTCCAGTGGAAATAGCTATCATGCGATTAACAGCAGATTGCGACTTCAGGAAGAGGTTGCCAAAAGCTATTGTTTATTTAGTCGCGTGGCATTCTGCATTGAAATTTGTTTTGCTACTATTTTTAAAAATACACCACTCTCTTGGGAGGAGAACGCAGGGTTTTTTCCTATACTCTGGGGAAAATAAAAGGGGAAGAAAAGCCTCCCAGAAAATTAAATACAAGTATGTTTGTGTGTACGAACAGAACTTTATAATCACGGCATATTCTGACTATTTTCGGTGAAGGAGGCTTGTCGTTGGCCAGTCAGAAAACACACATATGGAGATTTTATTGTGTTTTTTGTTTTAAAGATAATAATTTGTCTCCGGGTTCCAGTTGTTTATGCTTCTGTCTATATCTCTTTCCTCTCCCCTGTTTTATTTAGTAAGGTTTCATCTGTGAAATTTCGCCATGAAACAATTGATACATTCTCAGCACGCTGCGGCGAGGGAAAAAAAGCCCTTAGATTAATGGTCAGTGTCTCATACACACAAATTTGTGTTACGATACTACCGAGAAGCTGCGAATTACTGACAAGATCTAGAATAATTCCTAATGCTGTCGAAGGCTTCATTTTCTCCTCCGCATGATGGATGAGGCATAAGAAGTGCTTTCTGAGATCGTTAATGTGCATCATTCTGTTAAGTGTTATTAAAGTCCGTCTGTCTTAGGCAGCAGAAACAATATCTTATCCCTTATTTTGCCTCGCTCTTTGCTAAACTGGAGCTGCAGCCCCTGTCTTTTACTAATGTGGCCTTTTGTTGGTGCTCTTCTTCTAATGGCTAGTTTATACCACGGCATTTAGGTGGGTTTTAGGATTGTATTTTCCCTTTTAGTCAAAATATTGGCTTGTGGCATGGGAAGGAACACCTCATTTCAAGATTATACTATCTGTAACCTGTAGATAATAACAAAGCCGTGGAGGATCCATAGCGAGCGTTATATTTAAGCTTAGAAAATAGGATTGAACTTTTCTTTGGAAGCTGTGCCTGCATGCAGCAGCAGCTCCGGCTGAGTCGAGCCGGCTGCCTTCACCCCGTGGAGGAGAGCCCGGTGCCTGCTCCTCCCGCTCCAGCTCCAGGGAGCGACGCTGGGGCTGCGAAATAACGCCTGGGAGCACACGCGTCCTCTCGTCTGCCACCGGATTAATTGCTTAAAAATCTGGGGTTTGCTGTCTGAGAAGAGAGCAACTGCGATTTATGCTGGGAGGGAAGTTAGCTCCAAGGCAGCGTTGCAGGCGACCCAAACTTGCTCTCTTTGGGCAAAAAAAAGCTGCCCCATACCCTGGTCCCTTGGGCATCGCCCCGTTCCCTGGAGCACTGCCCGCCTGGCGGGAGGGAGGTAGGCCAGGTACAGATTGCAGATGGATCATATTAAATCAAAAGTAATTTTAACCAAACAGAAGAATTCACTTTAAAGGTTTTTAACCTTTCTTAAGAGCCAATTTTTCCTTAAGCCCTGTGATAATAAAATACAATATAATTTATAGAGCGCTTTCCATGGGTATGCATTCCTCTTCTTTTTTTTTAGTATTTTTTGTACAGTCAGATAAAACATATCCAACAACTGGGATGATAATCAAGAAAAAACAAAAAGCAACTGATCGTAAAGCCATTTAGAAATGTAACATTCCTTTTAAAAGAGACTCAGACATACTTGGAAAGCCTCACTTACATACTTTTAATAGAATTATAGAAGTGTGATGCACAGCTGGTAAAAGCTCAGTCATCCACAGCACAGCTAGTTTTTGAGTATTTAATTTTATATTTGAATAATTCTCCAGATCAGGCTATAATCATGAATGTCATATAAAAAGATTTTTTTCATAAATTACATTATTTCGCAGATGTGCAAATACTTCTGTGAAAAAAATTACATTGATCAGTTTTTAATACCCCCCTGTCTCACCCTTCAGTCAAAAGAAAAAATAGCTTTTTTCCCATCTTTGTCTTCAGAAAGGTGCTAGATTGTAAACATCTGAAGGAAATGAAAGGGGGTTGGCCAGTCCACCCCAAATTCTTTCCAGATTTTCATTCCTTTCACCAGCAGCCTTCTGTTCTTAGAGGAGAGGGAGGAACAGCAGAAGAAAGAGAGAGAAGATGTCTCTGTTTCTTATTAAAATTTAAAGTGAAAAGCAGTGCTGCATTTTGCTAATTTCCAGTTTGCTGATTCGGAGGGCGGTCGGCCGGGGGAAGCGGCGCCGCGGGGCAGCGGGGTTCGGCCGCGGGCGTTGGGCGGTTCCGCGGGATAGACCCCGGCGGGAGCGCGGCAAGCAGGTGCCTGGCACGGGAGCTGCCCGTTCATCCAAACTCCTCAACGCTTTGCTTTTTATCTGCTCCAAGCATTTAATTGAGGCAAAGTTAATTATGCAAAGCGTATTATTACACGCAGAATATCTGTATATTGTTGTGAATGGAGAAGTTTGCTCTAATGTTTAGTTGAGGGATGACAATTCAGATAAATGCCTATTTCCAAGCTCTCTCATCCCATATAGTATTAAGTTACACTTTGAAGGGAAAGGAAGGCTAAAAATAACTTTTATAAAGTAAAACAAGGTGTTACACCCTGACTGTTTGGTCTTAAATCATAGTTGCCTGCTTGTTTTTCAGGAAATTTAAGTACCAGATGCACTTGGAGAAAGCAATCTAAACATCAGAGTTTATTTTCAATATGCAAGTGGTATAAAAATATGCAAACCCTGATCACAGTGCTATGGAAACTACTCCACAAAAATGTGGAACGAAAGCTGTTACTGTAAGTGTGGTTCATGTATTGTAACAGCTGTGACAGCCCGGTGCAGCTCAACACTTGTTCAATTAGAAGAAAATATTCAAAAGGAAACTTGATTTAAATAAGATTTGTAATGAACTTTCACATTTACAAAATAAACCGGTGACAAACACTGTCCTCCCGCACGGCTCGCCCAGATTCGGCGTTGGCTCGGGCGACGGACGCGTTTCTCCCCGCTCTTGCCAGATCCAAAAGCATTTTTCAGGGCTTGTGTTACAGCTATTTGCAGATTATTTTAGGTCTGTGTTCTTTTATAACCACTTAGCAACTTGCAAGGAATATTTCAGGAGCAGACCATACTTGACATGCATCCTTTTTTGGGGAGCAGGAGGAATGGGTGTGGCGGATTTAAAAGCGATTATATATTTATGACAGATGGTTTTCAGTTTATGCAAGAAAGCCCATATAGACACTAG